CTATAATTTTAATATCATTTGAATCATCTTAATGGGACGATTCAAATAATATTAAGAACAGTAGGTATTAAATTGTCAGATTTTAAAATATTTTTATTAAAAGTTAATATTCAAAAAGTGCGACTTGTAGGTTTTCCCTTGGCGGCACCCATATGTAATATATTATTATTTTATGTGATCACATCTCGTCTTCATGTGATAGTTTTCGGTGCCCAACTCAAAGCTTCCAGATCACATAAAATCTAAAATGTATTAAAGTCTCAATGGTCTTGTTAATAGAGGTGTGTTTTTATAAGCTTTCTAATTATAAAATAAAGTAGCATAATAATAACGACTATAGTTGACAATTGAGTTTCACCCAATTGTAAAAGAAACGCTCGATCCAAACTTACAACTGGAGCTAACTGCGCATATATATGCCGACTCTGAGTCCGCCAGGGCTGCTATGAGAATTGCGGACAACATAACGATAAAAGATGGTATAGATGCATAAAGTGGCGCAATAAAAGGATATGGTGTCAATACAGTGAGTCTGCGCCACTGCGTTGTCACTACATCCTTCGCGCCTACATCACCTTTTCATGGCCGTCTTGGAAGACTCTAGCTTTTCCAATCAGTCTTAACTTAATATATGCCTAACGACCAGATATTATCATATATTCCCCGGTTCTTATTTATACTTCTATACTATTCCTTCTCGATTATTATCCAGATTTCGGATTCGGGCTGATCCGGAATTTTTATAATTCTTTTGATTATAGATTTTTTTTTTTAATGATATACGAAATTTTTAAACTATTTTAAACAATTAGAGCTACAAAAAGTTGCTGGCTAAAAAAAAAAAAAAAAGAAAGAAAAAAAAAGTGAAAGAGATTTTGTGATCTGTAGTAAGCTAGACTTTATGAAATACGTGATTTTACTTTGAAGAAATAGTATAAAAGTATAATAGAACCTGGGAATAAATCAGTTATTATCGCGAAATGGACAACCAAATATCAATCCCAAATCAGATGATCGGATTGATTCTTGGCGCAGAAGCTACGGACAGTTCTTAAGGATAGTGTTCCGCGAAAAGGATCCGAATGGATCCGGTATTTTTAATGGGCATTAATGTAGCATTTCATTAAGGGTACCG